AGGCAGGTGCACGCGGCCTTGCGCTTCCAGGGCGCGTTGCGTCGCAACCGCTGCGCCATCATGTGACGCGGCGCCCGTCCCAGCCGCTGTGGTCCCGCACTGGCCCCCACCGAGGGCAGGGCACAGCTGGGGGCAGCGGGATCGCGAGGCTGGAGCGAGAAGCGGGCCGGAATGGAACTCTAACGCCCCGGCCTGACGCGCCCCCCGGCAGCCGCGCACCTCCCGGTGAGAGGCAGAGGGCGAGAGGGAGCCTCCCCGTAACTGCTCAGTCCCCCCATTCGTCTTCCTGGGACAGCTGCCTTCAGGGCTGTAGTGAGTGCAGTACCCAGCCCGACCCGAAGGGGCGCTACAGCCTTTAGGGATTGGAGGTGGGCATGCGAAACAGTGGGTCGGGGTGGGGAGGTGCTGCCTTGGCCGGGCCCCCACCTGTATTCCCCCCAGTGTGTCTGTCTTTGCCCCGCGTCTTCCTTTTCCGTGTCTGTCTGCCCACGTGTCTGTGGGTCCTTAGCTGTCTTGGCCACCCTCGAGTCTGCTCCTCGCCCATAGCTCCGCTCACAGGGCTCTCATCCGTCTGTCCCCCTGTCGCAGATCCTGGCAGCTTCTTTGTGAGGTCAGGCCTTGTGACCTTCAGCACCACCGGCGCAGGGCAGAGAGATGCGGGGGGCCCAAGAACCACAATCAGGGGTCCCAGGGTTGAGTCCCAGATCAGTCAGGGGGAGAAGGCTGAACTCTCCCGCTTCCCGGGAGACCTCCCTGCCCAGCAGCCCCCAGAGACACAACAACCTACCTTCCAGCCTTAACTTGATGGTCCATCCCTGCCGGGTGCCCCTCACCCTCTTCCTGACCCCAAGCCAGATCACCCCTTGGGTTAAAACTATTTTTTTTTATTTATTTATTTATTTATTTATTTATTTATTTATTTATTTATTGACGGTGTAGGGGAGGGAATCTCCCAGAGCATAGATTTGTTGCCATGAGGCCAAGTTCTGTCCTATTCCCTCCAGCACTGGGTGATCCCCCACACTGGGGGAAGTGGAGTTCTGGGGGCTGGTGGTGGGCGGGGTGGTGCCAGGAGGGTTCAGGTTGTGTCGGTGAAGATCCTGCCTTCCTGTCCCACCCAGTCTGTCTCCTCAGACTCTACCTGCATCAGATCTCAGATTACCCTGATTAATCTGGGGAAGAGAGAGTGAAGAATTGTGGGGACCCCTGTGCTTAAGGGAGATATGCTGGCATCCCCACCATAGACAGAGGCCCTCAGATCTGATACTCCCAGGTCCCAACACCAGTTAGCCCTACGCCCTAACTCACTTCACCCCATCTTTCCGGCTGCCTGGCTGGGTTTCTACCTCTCGTCACCGGAGCTGATCACTGTCCGTTTTGTACCGATTTAGAAATAACAATAATAAGATCCTAGGAACGGCCTGAGGGATTGCTGGGGGGAGGCCGAAGTGCCACATGTCCCAGCCACCCCCTTTGGCCAGAGGAAGTTCCTGAGGCTGAGCCCTCAGCCCTGGCCTGGTGGGAGGATGTCAAGGCCCCTTGTTAGGGGGCAGATGCAACAACTTGGCCCCAGGCAGCTTAGCCAGCCAGGAGACCGACTGCGACTCAGGTAGCCCAGCGTGGGGTGGAGAAGAGTTGGTGGGAAGGGCCTTGGCTGGAGAGTCTGTCATGGAGATCCAGTCTGAGGGGGTGGAATCTGTGATTCTTCTGCCTCCCCAGTTGATTCCCACACCTTCCACCCACTGGGGGTAGCACAGCCCTATGGCCACTGCCCTGACCTTGGGCATCCAGTGTTCCTGGGTTCTAGTACCTGCTGTGCGGCATGACTTCGGGCAAGTGACCACCCTCTCTGAGCCTCCCTCTTAAAAAGAGGAGGTGGCTCCCCTTCCCCACATTTGAGTGGCAGGGAGGGTAAAGAAGAGGACCTGCCCCCTTTGTCCCCTGCACCTCTGCCCCCTGGTTCACCAGGGCTGATGAGGTGAAGAGTGACAACGTTCACATGCCCATCACCCCCAACAGAGGCACCTGAGGTGGGTGGGGACTTGGGCCTCTGGTAGCCCCTGGGGGAGCTGTTGGAATGTATCACCTGACGAGCCCCCTCAGCCCCTCTGCTTCACCCCAGGTATTGGATTTCAGGTCCCTGCACCCCTATTCTGAGTCTCTGTCCCCACCCTCCCTCCCAGGGTTTCCCACCACAGGGTCTGGAAGTGTGTGACGCCCATTGAGCTGTTACCGGAAGTCAGATTAAAATTCAGGGAGTGTTTCCCTTGTTTCTGTACCACGGTGTGGGCTCCTGTTTCTCACTGTGGGAGGGAAGGGCCCCAAGGGTCCTGCATGCTGAGTTCTGTGTGGAAGGAAGGCGAAGGTGTCCCTAGCTCGGCTCAACCAGGGGCTCGAAGGGCAAGAGTGGGTGGGGACTTACCTCCACTCCACCTAGTCCCGAACCACCCAGCTGATTGAAACCTTCCAGAAGGGAAGCCTAGTCTCCCCTGCTACTCTGAAATTCTCCTAGTGGGCTCACCCGCTGCTGTGCCTCGTCCTTTCCACCCAAGGCTGACCCATTGCAGCCTCCAGGCACAACTTCCGGGATGTGGCTATGCTAGGGACACTTTTAGTCACCCCGCTTGACCCTGAGGGATCTCTGGCCCCAGGCCAGAGTAAAGCTCTGAAGTCTTTGGCGGAGTTAGCTGGCAGGAGCCAGTGTAGAGGGGCGCCCCTTGTCCCTGTCCGTGGTACTGATCCTCCAGCCATGTCCAGGAAGGGCAGGGCTGAGCCTCCGTCCCTCAGCTCTCAGCTCTGAGCAAGGAGAGAACGTCTCCTCCGGTGGAGAAGCTGCATCTCTCTACACCACCAGGGCCCTAGAGTGAGGGAAGGACTCAAGGGCAGACCCACATGTGTTTAATAACAGGGCGGGTGGGCACGGCCAGGGACCAGAAGACAGGAGTTCAGGGAGCTGTTCCACGGGAAGGCAGTAAAATTCCGGTGGTTCCACCACCCCTGACCCAGCTCTGGCCTGGAGTGGGCGTGATGGGCTGCCCCCTTGCTCAGCAGAACAGATTGTGTCTGTATCTGTCCTCTGACCCTGTCCTGGCCAGGGCCCTGTATTGAAGTGAGGGGACTTTCGTTCAGTCCCTGCAACCGGAATCCAGTGGCTACATGGGCAACCTTTCTGCTCCCTTCCTCCCTCACACCCACAGCCCCTCAGACCCAGGTCTCCTCAGCGGGGAGTGGGGTTTGATCCAGTTGCTCAGGTTCCAGGCCCTCCAAAGCCTGGGGGCTGCCCTCCGGTGGGATGGTGGGCTCCTTCTCCTTTTCCTCCTCCTGCTCACCTGCTGAGACTCCATTCACACAGGATGCCCCGCCTCCCTTGCAGCCCCGCGCAGCTCTGAGCAGCCTGCTCCTGGAGGGCACATTGGCCCGACCCAGGTGGAGGTAGGCCAGTGGCTTGGGGATCCGTGAAGGCTGCTTCTCAGGCCTGTGGTCTCTCCGGGGCCGCATTCTGGGCCTCAGCTTCAGCTTGTAGATGGACGGGACCCTCTGGGGTTTGCGGAGTGTCCTCTTGCCCTTGCCCAGACGTGTCTTGGCTTTGTCACAACTGGGGTCAGAAGGCAGATGTGTGGGGGCCTCGGGGCTGGCCGATGTGGGTGGGCCCGAGCAGTCCTGCCCTCCTAGAGATGGGGCCTTGCTCATCCTGGGGCTCTTGGCCCTCGGGCTTGGCTTGGTCTTTGGCCCGCTGCTCCCTCGGGCTCCCAGCTTTCCCTGTTGGCTTCCTGTGTCTGAGGCAACCGCTGGCTTAGAGGAGCCCACGAGGGTTGCCTTCCAGGCTCTCAGGTCTACCTTAAGGAGAGGGGGAGGGCCCTGAGCCAGTTCTTGGATGACTTTGTCATAAGGACCCCCAGGCTCAGGCCACCGGCCACCCAGGCTGGGGACATAGACTCCACTGCGAGGGATGACTCCAGACCCTGTGTCCTGAGAACGGGCACCCCCCACGTCCAGCAGCTTCATGTTGGCCAAGATCTCCTCTTCCAGGCTACAGGAGACTGCTTGCTCCTCGGTCCTGCCCGGGGGCCGGGGAGTGTACTTTCCCTCCCGTTCCTGCAGGCCTGGGCCCCAGGGCTCTGCAGCCTCTCCTGGGACCTGGCCTCCCTGCCTCATTTTCGCAGAGCAGTTCACATGTCTGGACCCAGCCAGGTCCCCGGTGATGGCCCTTATTGGGACGGGGCCTCTCCCCAGTTCTGTCATGGCACTTGTCGTTGCAGTACCTGGAAAGCTTCTTCCTGGTGTGGGGGTGCGGGCCAGGGACAGCCTGACAGGGATCTTGGTGAGTCCTTTAACAGGGGATGGAGACCGGACAGTTGTTGGCTCCCCGAGCTGGCAGAAAGCGCCCTCGGCTTCACCCTGGAGTGGCAACCTGGGGCCCAGGGGCTTGGCTGGGCTAGGGGGACGAGGCAGGGAAGATGGTCCTCTTGCTGGTGTCCCTTTGGTGGTGGCCTCAGGAACTTGGAGTTTCTGGGGAGTGGGGATCCTGGTGTGGGTTTCTGGGGTGTCTGTCTGCTCAGGAACCCAGGATGTAGGAGTCCTTCCCCTGGGGCGTTCAGGGGAGCTTCTGCTCTCTCTCTTCCCTGACAAGGTACACTGTGGCTCTTGGCGCCTATAGGTGGGTGAGGGTTGAGGGCTGGGTGGACTGTCCCCAGCTGGCAGCTGCCTCCGGAGCGATGTGAGTGACCTCTCCTGGGACCTGAAAGGGAGAATTAGAGGCTGGAAAGGGAGACTAATAGGGCTGCAGGGCCACTAGTGCAGTCCCCAGCTCAGGGACGGGGCGGCCTTTCCCCAGCCAGAGCACCTA